ACTAGTATCGATCCTGCTTGACTACTTGATAATCAAGGAAACTATTGAGAGAATAGGAAAACAGTAATAATTCCTAAAGAAAGGAATGATCTCGTTAAGCCCAAATAGCGCCGAAAATTTTGAGGATCAAGGCGACAGACGTTATGTTTTTTCCATGTACATAAAAATTTTTAGGGACATCTCGATCTACATCTTAACTCGTTATCGTTTTTACAATGATGGTTTTATCGTAAAATCGCAACCGAGAGCGAATACGATAAAAAAGAAAAATTATAATACGGGCGGGTTTCTCACTTCCTCGAGACGTTTATATTTATAAAAAAGTTCCTAGGTGTCCTTTAGATTATAGAGAAAGCCTTAGATAAACTCTTAAGAATTGTAGATGATTAGATATGTAGATCCTGATAGATAATATTAATTTGCAAATTAATTGTGAATTCTTGGGTCTGTGGATTCTTACACCTTTGAAAGTGTAGATTGTTGAACTATTAGATATTCGCGTCATCCTAGGATTCATATAGATCCTCGAATTCTTGGACTCGAGAATTCTTCAGTTTTAAAAAAAAGTTTCAATTGTCTTGAAATTTTTATCTTTTTTATAATCGGGCTAGATTAAATATTAATCTTATATCGAAGAAAATCATTTGCAAAATGATTATTTGATATTATTCAGATCAATGATCGATGATTTATAAGGCACGATCTCGAGGAACACCGGGAAATTCGTGAATACCGACTTGGCTATTCAGAGACAACGACACAACGCATTATAAAGTAATAATGATAACTTAACGTTAATCGATTACTATTACGATCGCTCACATCGCGAGAAGTGATGACGATGATGATTATTGCGTACAGATTATCCTCAAATTATCGCATTTTCTTTAAGAAATTATTCTGGAATAACAAGAGAAGAATAATAGATGTTTGAGCATTTTTTATGAATTAAATATATATTTTGATTTATAAAATAATTTAAGTCGACAGATGATTTATGTCGAATATATTTGCGTGATCATTTCTTCTTATTATTTGTAATTTAAAAAAAGCTACTTTTTCAATATTCGAAGCAAAAATTGTTGTCTTTGATTTTCTTTCTAAAATATTTACGAGAAGAAACGCGATAATTCAAGGATATCTGTGGTTAGAGAAGTTAGGCGTTAAGCAAGATACATTATTAAGAAAAAAGTTAAACCATATGTGGTTAAGTAGGTAGACTTTAGCTTTATACACAAGAGAGTGATAAGGGAATATTCATGGAAATGAGAGAGAGAAAGAGAGAGAGAAAGAGAGGGAGAGTGAGTGAGAGAGAGAAAGAAAACTTTGCCGATTGTGAATTAATTACAAAAGGAAGAGCGTTAAAAAAACTCCGCATTTTCGACTGCCATTCGAGTTAGCAATGATTCGTTATACCAACATGTCCGAGCGAACTTGTGCGATGTTTGTGGGAAGGAGTTATTATCGCTGTCGCAAGAATTATATACAAAGGCGTTCGAAATCAATCATGTTTTTTTTTACTTGCAGATTCATCAGTCACTTTTGAATCAAATATTAAAAATTTAACGAAACATTATTTTATTCATAATATATCTTTTAAATCTTGATATAACTGTTTAAAAAAAATTGTCTAAAAGATAAATATTATAATAAATATCATCAAAACTAATTTTTTAGAATTAATTAGTGTTTAGTTTTATTATAAAATATTATATTAATATTTTGAATTGTTATTTTTAATTAAACAAATTCGATTACATATTGATGACAGAATTTTGCGCGCGAATCAAAGCGTCATTGATTTGAAGATCTTTGTGTTGTTGTTCTTTGTAATTATTTTTTAAAAATATTTTTAATTGTTATTATATTAATAATTGTATTTATTAATATTATTATTTTTAAATAAGTAAGATTAGTGTATGATTATTACAAGAATTTTATAATATATGATATTATACATGTAATTTATGTAATTCAAAATTTTTAAATGTAAATTTCGTTCATTTTAAATCAAAATTCGTCTAACGATGGACATTATTATATTCTGTCTTATATTAATCCATTGGAACATTATATAAATTGTGAAACAAGTTGTTATACTTGTAAAATAAAAAAATGTTTTTAATTTATTTAATAAACAAAAAATAATGTAAGAATAGTG